ACGGGCATGAACAACGAACTCTGAATCCTAAACCCGACCCCCGCAACAACAACCCTAAACCCTAAATGGTAGCTTCCATTTTCTTCACCATTCTCCCCATATAGCCCTGACCAAAACGGCCCAAGCCTGAAAAACGCAAGCCGGCAAGCAAGGACTTTGCGCGCAGCAGCCGTGGAAGTGAAACTGGCCACGCTCACAAGCAAGCCTGCTTCAGCGATGCCTTGAACCCCAAAAGAAGGTAGGATTTAGGATTTAGGGTTTTGCGTTTAAAGGTTCAGAGGTTGATTTAGAGCGTAAGGTTTAGGGTTGTAGCTTAAGAAACCCCAACGGAATGTAGGGTTTGTGGTTGTCAAGCCTGAAGAGAGGGTAGGGCTTGTGGCTTTAGATTCCGAGGTTGGGTTTAGGGCTTAAGGTCTTAGGGTTTCGGTTTCTGGTTTTAGGGTTCAGGGTTTGGGGGCGCTCCTGGTGTCATTGCGTCCCTTCCAATACGCTTTCTGCCTATCTCCCCCCCTGTCTTTGAACCTGCCTCACCAGCGTTTTTGGGTGATCGACCCTGACGATCAGACTGCTTCTGGAGGAAGCAAAGCCTGAAGGCAAAGAGCCTCAGGCTAACCGCAGAATTCTGGCCCTCGGTGGCCTATCGTCAGGCTTTGGGGGTCGAGATGCTGTCTGAAGGATTGCCCGGTGTGTCACAAGCCATCTCATTGTTTGGAAGTTCTACAGAACAGTCCCTATCTTATGAACGGGGATCCCAGCAGTCCCTTGCATATCTAGTTTATCGCCGGGATACCCCCATTTCTGCTTCCAGAAAAGTATAGGCATGGCGAGAAGATTATTTTGTAACCATCAGTCGTACGTAAAAAGCTCGTGACATGCATCCGTAAGTACTTGTAGAATTCTCTAATTATAGTTGTTGTAACCAATTCCTACAATCCAAAGGAGTAATCTGGAGCCCCAAGCAAAGCACGATTTTTGCTTCCCTGCCACCAGGATAGGTCTCTCCAAGCAAATGGGTCTCAAGGCCTATTCTATGGGCCAACTGGCTTAATGAACGAAGCGCAAGGTACCATCGAAAGAAAGCCGTGTTGTGTATTCCATAGCTATATGATGGTTGCTCAATCTAACTTCCTTAACAGCAAGCCAGTTCATCATCCAAGCATCTACTGTAGATCTTGTTATAGTCCTCAAGTCCTAAGCCCTAAACCTTGAACCCTAAACCCTAAAACCGACACCCAAAACCCTGAACCCTAAACCCGAAACACGGAGCCCTAAATCCGAAACCCTAAACACTAAACCTTAAAAACTCGAAACGTTAACTTCCAATACCGGAGTCTCTCCCGTGCTCTGATTGGAACAACTTGGGGGAGTGGCCTAGGGGTTCAGGGTTCAGGGTTTACTGGGTTGCTGTTAAGGAACTTCATTTAAGCTACTATATTTATTGTTTAGGGTTTAGGATTAAGGGTTTAGGGTCCCCCTGTAATGGAGAATCGAAAAGAAAATGGAACATGAAATGGACACTGGCGTAATATAGGGATATAAGGAGCTTATTTGAAGTTACTATATTGGGAAACATATTAATTACTATATATGCACATTATGGTAACGGAATTTAAGCTCCTTCACTTAACAGCAACCCAGTTTAGGGAGTTTGGTATCATGGAGCCACTGTGTGGGCACCCCCAGTGTTTATGGGCCACAACGAACTACGATCTTAGCGAGGATTATTCTGGTGTATTGGGGCTTATTCAGGGTTTAGGGTTTACCTAAACCCCAAAAGTATGTAAAATAATGGCCCTAAGCCCATATTGATAGCCATAAAGGCCATTATCTTACATACTCTTGGGGTCCAGGTAGGTCTAGGGTCATTCAGGCCGATCGGATGGTGGCATGGAGAGATTTCTCGAGAGATTGCCGCTGCAAAGCCCCAGTGTAGAGCCACATTGCCAGGGTTGGGTGCGACAGCGGGCCCAGATCCTTACGCCTCAAGCCATTGCTTCGGGATTGTACGAAGGATACCAAAATCCTGCAGAACTTTCAATACCCCAATTTTGATACCTTCGTATACTAAGGTCATTCACGAAAGGTCAGTTCTAGGCCCTGTAAACCCCGAGACCAAGAACATCTGAAGCCTTAAATCCTAGATCATAAGCCTAATTTCGTTTCTCTATCCTAGGCCACCGTAAATCCTAGATTTTAAGCCTAAGTTCATTTTTAAATCCTCAGCCACCTCAATCCCTAGATCATAATGTAGACCCATGAAAAAGGTAATACTAGGGTTATATAGGGATAATGGTAAAGAAAATGGAATCGACTATTTAGGGTTTAGGGTTTAGGGTCCCATGATTCATCAACCCCTTCCTTTTCAGGGCCTATCTATCAGGATCCCTAGTATAATCCCTACTAAGGGGAGGGGGTGTATTCATCAGGGGTCAATGCTATGACGGAAGCGCTAACCCTGCACCCTAGACCCTAAAGCCTAAACCCCCCCCCAAACCCGAAACCCTAAACCCTAAACCCTAAGCCCCCCCCCCCTCTCCCCAACCCTGCACCTGTATAGTCTCTTGGCTTTGCTTCCGCGCGGGACCCGCGTATTTTGAGCTCAGGGCCCAGTACTGCTCTCGAAACACCATCTTTCGGACATGGTTTACGGGGTTTTCTGGTATTTTTTGGCACCCTAAACTCTAAACCTGAAAAACTCAAAACTAGAAAAAACCTCAAACCCCAAAAACTAAGGCCATAAAAATATGTATATATATATATATATATTTTTGGATTTATGGAGTTTATGGTTTTTGGTTTGAGGGTTCAGGGTTTAGGGTTTAGGGTTTAGGGTTCAGGGTTCAGGGTTTAGGGTTTAGGGTTTTGAGCTTTGTGGCGCTCAAACCTTGTTTTACCAGTGCTTAAGGGAGAGTGGGGGAGTGGGCCCTGTATTAATTCCTATATAATCCCCATATATATATATATGCCCCTACAATAGTACTTATATTCACTGCCCCACTCCCCCTTAAGCACCAGTTGCTGTTTCTCTCCTGAGTCATGCGTTGACAGAATTCAGTTTTCAGGTATACTAAACTAGTAGTGAACATCTAATTTTGTTTCTTAATTCTATCGTAGAGACGTAAGTGTGAAGTTCGCCTCTTTAACCACCTGTTCCTCTCCTTACTTGCTCCAGGTTCTATTTTCGGCAGGGATTGTGCACCAGGCAGCATGGTGTACCAAACACTCCGATGAAATGCACGAAAGACAGGTTGCTCCTGAACCATCCTCATCCCCAATCCCTGAAACCTAACCCCTAAACCCTGAACCATAAACCCTGAACCCTAAACCCTAAACCCTGAACCCTAACTCTTGGTCCGATGAAGTCTACCATAGTCACCACAATGACCATTATGCTAGGCATTCCTGCTTTGAAAAGACGTTTTGATGCACCAGTTTTCTGGAGCAGCGCCGGTGCGAGCGACCGGGCTTCTCGCCCTCCAAGCGCCCACAAGAGGGGCGGTGCAGCCGCAGTGACTGCAGGGGGTTTCCAAGGCCTTTCCATTAGGCCTTACTGTAATCTAGATGAATGACTACCAACATTCTTCCCTCATACTGCTAATTTTTTTGGGCCCTCGCATCAGATGTTGGGGTGCAGGTTCCCAGGGCCCAGGGTGCAGGGCTTAGGTTATGGGGACTTGCGTCGAAGAGTTTTTCTCTAGGGACATTAGGAGGGACCCCTAATAGGGACCCTTAATCCCATTACCATATATAACCCTTATACAGTCATTATATAACCCCTA